TGCCCTGTAAACTTTCACTCGATCCACAATTAAAACCTTAAAAAAAAAAAAGATGGATTGGAAAAGTGGAAGCATCAATGGGCTCAAGCGTGGCAACAATGGTTGGCCCAGGACCAGGCAATATTTCATTCTGTTGTGCATAGGGTCGCTATGAGTAGGTACCGACTTGATGGCACCTAACAACAACAACATTGTACCAATGCAGTTCCGTAATTTGGGTCAACAGATCATGGTTATGTGAGACGTTAATGTTAGGGAAACTGGGTGAACAAATGGGAACTCTGAACTAACTTGGCAACATAACATAGACCTAAAATTATCTCAAAACCAAACAGGTTTAAAAAATCATTAAAAATTAAGGTTGCTCTGAGAAAAACGGAAAAAATTCTAGCCTAAGAAGTTAGAGGTGGCTTGATTACTTCTGAATCAAACCTCAGGGTGTGCTGACGAGCTGGGGGCAGGCTTGCAGGGTGTACCCTTTGGTTGGTTGATGATGCATGGAGGGGATTGTAACCATGACAATGAAACAATGTACGATAGAATGAATGTAAAACTAATGTTCTCCCATGTAAACTATCACATAATTCACAATAAAACATTAAAAAAAAAACAAGATTCTCTGCGACATAACAGATAGGAAGGCCCGCGCAGACATAGCTCATTCTACTGTGCGTCACTGTAGGTCACTCTACAGATTGTGCATTTTATACCAAACTGAAGGTTTGTGGCCACCCTGTGTCCACCTAGTCTACTGGCCCCATTTTTCCAGCAGCGCGTGCTCGTTTCCTATCTCATTTTGACTGTTTTCCCAGTTTTTCTAACTTTCTCATGATACTGGTTATTGCACACTTACTAGACTACCCACCTACTGGCTTCAGGTTCACAGCACCCACGAGAGGATTTCCGGGAGTGGCAGTCTTTACTAAGCAGACAGCCTCGTCTTTCTCCCGAGGAGTGGCTGGTGGATTTGAACTGCCAAACTTACAGTGAACAACCCAATGCGTAACCCACAGTGCCACCAGGGCTTAAGAGACTACAGTATTGTGTAAACACAGCATTCTGCACAAGGAAACCAGAAAATTCTTGTGATTCACTTGACTGCGATATTTGCTTTATTGTGGTGATCTGGAACCCTACCCATTATGTCGTTGTTTTGTGCCGTGGAGTCGGTTCCGACTCATAGCGACCCTGTACAGGGTTTCCGAGGCTGTAAATCTTTACGGGAGCAGAATGCCTCATGTTTCTCCCACAGAACCACTGGTAGTTTCAAACTGCTGACCTTGAGGTTAGCAGCCCGATTCGTAACCACTACGCTACCAGAGCTTACTATAATATGAGAGGACTTCAAAATATTTATGGAAAAATGGATTTCAAAGATCACGGAATTTTTTCCACAAAGTTTTTGAAGTAATCTGAGGTAAGCCTATACTCAGAGTGTTACTGACTTGGTCAGGAGAACTTTTTCCTCTAGTCCCTCAGTGCAACAGTGTGCAGAATAATGAACACAGAAGAAATGAGGAAAACCAGTTTGTCAAACTCCTGTATAAGCTAACTCTGCTTCATCTTTACCATAGGCGACAACACTCACCGGGTTCCGGAAATACTTACTGATATTCTTTGTGATGAATGTGGTAAGCCAACTGCAGAAGATAATTCAAAAATGTTCTCAGAAGTATCGTCGTAAATGGAGAATGGGTTTCTTCAACTGGTATGTCGTTATTGGCTAAATGAGAGAATGGGGAGGAGGCCTTGCATTGTCCAGACCCTTCTGTTTTATTGGCCGGTACACACTTCAGAGAACTATGAATGAGTGCTTCTTGCCTAGAAAAATTACTGGATAGTATGTAAGCATCTACCTATAAGTTAAGTACCACATAACAGGTCTCTGTCTGGTGTGCTTATAAGAAACAAACCTTGACCCAGGGGTTTTCAAATTTTCTGAGCCACAATTGGATTTAATTCAATTGATGATAAGTTTAATTCTACATGACTTACCTCTGCTTCAAACACTTCATGTGTTAAGTAAACAGGTCCCTTTTCTGAATGTTTTACTTATCAAGTAAACCACCTGCCCTAGATTATCGCAAGGTCCTTTGGCTTCCAACCTGACACCTTAGCTGTTTTTTTCACTGTGCATCAGGGGCAGACAAGTGTTCTCAATCCATCTGTCGCTGCTCTTCAGCTCTGACGCTGTAGTACATAAGCAAATGGTTACAGCTGTGTTCCAATAAAACTTTATTTACAAAGAACACGTGTGAAGCTGGATGTGGCTCAGGCTGTTTTTGGCTGACCCCTAAAGAGGGTCGCTCAGAGTAGGATTCAGTTCCATGGCAATGGGTTTGGTGGTTTTGTTGTTGCCTGTTATTTCATGGGTGTCTCGTGGTGTTGCAGTGAATGCGCTCAACTGCTAATCTAAAGGTTAGAGGTTCAAGTCCATCTAGAGGTACCTTATATGAAAGGCCTAGCACCGACTTCTGAAAAACCAGCGATTGAAAATCCTACAGAGTACAGTTTCACCCTGACCCTTGTGGGGTTGCCATGATTCAGTGTTGACTCTACAGCTGGTCTTAACTCTTGAGATTATCTCTTAAGTATGCGGTAAGCACCTTAAGAACAAGGCCACCGGGTAACTTCGGGAACATTTGCCTTCCCTACTTGCTCAGGATTTCTGAACTAGTGGAAAGGGGGTCTCAATGTTATGCTGCCCCTTTGGCCAAAGGACCTGGGACACTCACCGTTGAGGAGCCGGTCCATATCTGCAAGAGTTAGTTTATGATGATGAAATCTGCAGTCTTTCAGAAACCTCCAGAACTGAAGCTTGGTCATTAGGAAGGTATTATCCAGAGAGTGATCACAACCAAGGCTGCTGTAAAAGCTGTAGATTCTTCTGAGTTCCGTTATGTTTCTTAAGATGGCAAATTCAACCTGAAATGAAGAAACACCAGTCCTGGCTGGCACTGTGGGATAATGCAGTGGATCGCACAGTTGGCGGTTCAAACTCCTCGGAAACACTAGGCAGGGTCACTAGGAGTGAGAACTGACTCAATGGCACTCAACAGGAACAAAAGCACCCGTTTCCTCAATCAGATGAGGTCACATGTGTAAGTAACAACATTTGCCTCTCACCACTGGAAGAACTCAAGACAAGATACATTCTGTCTGTCCACTGGGTACAAGAAGTCCAATCCCTGAGCAGCTTGGAGCACAGGCTCCGCATGAACAGCCCTCACCAGTGACAACAGGAGAGTTCTGCTGACTGGAGCAATATTCCTCATGAGCACAGATGTCAAAATGCTTAACAAGGTCTTAGCAAATCAAATCCCACTACATAAACAAAGAATGTAGTCAACATCCAGTGAGGTTTCGAGACGGGCTCCGCATTTGACTGCATCAATTAGTGTACCATCTCAGTGATCCTTTTGACAAAATTTAACATCCATTCATGATAAATACCCTCAGCAAATGAGCAAGAGAAAGGACTCTGTGAGATAAAACTCCGTTCAATTGGACAGACATTTACAGTCTGTCCAATTGAAAGCACTTTTCTAGACTAGAACCCAGATCTGTCTTCAGAAAGCTTACATATAACAAACATGCTGTTACTATGGGCGGTCAAGGCCATTTCAGCTCATGGCGCCCCCACGGGTTCCACAGGGGAACTGCTCCAGAGGGCTTGCTAGGCTGTGATCTTTATGGGAGCTGAAGGGTGGGTTCCAACTGCCAACCTTACCTAAGACCCAGACACAATAAGCAGGCATCCAGATGGAAGCAAGGAGGGACGGGAGAAGGATTCTACACAGGCAGCTTCCTGGAAGACAGCAGGGTTGAACTGAGCTCTGGAGAATAGAAAAATGAGTAGGGCTTTGTTGCCAGCATGCATCCTAAAGAGAGGGGGTCCTGGGAGTCAAAGAGGGTCGGGTTTTCTAAGGAAACCAGGAGGACTGCATGACCTCCTGATCTGCAGAATGAGATAACAGTCCCTGCTCTGTATCAGGAAAGCTCACTGAGTCAACGTAGAACTGTGCCTACAAAGGGTGAGAGCTGCCCCTGAGTGTGGTGGCTGCCACCCTGGCAGTTCACAGGAAGGACGGGAAGTCAGGTCACACAAGGCCCCAAGTACCAACCTGAGACCATGAGTGGTCTTTCAGATAAGGATGGATCTAGCTTGAAGGCCACCAAGCCCAGCCTGCTCTGCTGAGACTAGAATGAATAACCCAGAACAACTGCTCAGAAAAAAAATACCCACATTCTCACAAAACTCTTCCATGAAAGGATAATAAATGCATATGGTTGATTGGTTATGTGCTGTGAAGTTGGTTACAACTCAGCGACCCTGCACAGGGTTTCCGAGGCTGCAAATCTTTATGGAAGCAGAAAGCCTCATCTTTCTCCTTCGGAACAGCAGGAGAGGTCAGCAGCCCAACTCATAACTACTATGAGGAAATAGCAGATAAACCCAAACTGAAAGACAATCTACAAAGAGAATGACCAGTACTCTTCAAAAACCTTCAGGTCATAAAAGACAGTGAAAGCTGGAAAGACTGTCACAGATGAGAGAGTAAGGAGATCAAACACAGTGTGGGGTCCTATATGAAAGGGACATTCAGAGAAAATCGGTGAAACTCAAATACAGTCTGCAGTTACGGAGGTGGACCGATACTAACTTTCTGTGTCTGATCATTGTAAAACAGGAAGGCAAGCTGGGTGAAGCAGGGAGACCTGGTGGAGCAGATGTTAAACGTTGGGCTGCAGTGTGGCCCTCTCTCCACAAAATGAGACTGTCAGGAGGCTGTCTGCTTCTGTTTTTCTGACTTACAGCCTCAGAAACCTGCAGGACAGTTCTCTGTTCCAGAGGATTGCTATGAGTCAGAATTGACTTGATGGCAGTGGGCAGGTCAGTGGAGGGAGGGGATATAGAAAGTCACTTGACTGTTTCTGCAACTCTTCTAACACTCAAAAAAGCCTACAGAAGATTTACTGACTAAATAGCAATATACTACATCACAAAATATTACAGTCATTTTTAAATGTTTTAAAATCATGAAACTCGCAATCATAAAAAGAGACCAGGTCAGGTAGACTAGCAGAATGCCTGAGAGCACAGCCCATACACACCCCCATGGCACAACTTTCAGCCAAGCAGCAGACAGGTCTGAAGGAGTCCTGTTGTGATGCTGTAGGATCAACACTGGACTGCTAGCCACAAGGTTGATGGTTCAAATCCACCAGCCGCTCCTCGGAAACCTGATACAGGGTCACTATGAGTTGGAACCAGCTCAACAGCACTTAGCAACAATAAGGGGAATAACAACACTAGTGAGGTACACACACCTAAGAATCATCAACCACTTGAGATCAAAAGGGGAGGATTTAGCCAAGGATAAAAGGATTAGGAAAGGTGGCAGAATGAAAACAGGTAACTCTGGGAGGCAGTGGGAGCTGCGTTTTTGTTGTTTTTTTTTTTTTTTTGCTGCGTTTTTGTTGTTTTTTTTTTTTTTTTAGGATGACGCTATTTTATTTTTTTTAAACGATTAATTTAATGTGAATTTTTGTTGAAAGGGTACAAATTACATACTTATTACCCTGGAAGGAAAAAAAATAGCATGTGTGTTTTTTGTTTGTTTGTTTGTTTGTTAAGTGTTTTATTGTGAATTATATGATAGTTTACATGAGAGAACTTTAGTTTTACATTCATTTCATCGTATATTGTTTCATTGCCATGGTTCGGATCTCCTCCATGCATCATCAACTGATCAAAGGGTATACCCCACAAACCCGCCCCCTGCACTGCCCCCGACACAAACACACCAGTCTTCAGCACACAGTCCCTCTCCCTCTCTGGATCCAAAGTCCCCAGCCGCTTCATCACTCCATTTCATTGTCTCTGTCTCCATCTCAGGCATCCCTGCTTCCCTGGGTAGGGTTCCGTTCTCGGCTCTTCTCCGTTGATGGTTCCAGAGACCTCCGCTCCTAGACTATAGAAATCCTCACTCTCTTCCTTGCTACAAAACATCTAC